AATTCGGGGTGCGACCAGAGTCACGGAACGAATTAAATTCGTAACCCAAGGTTCCACTGTACATCTCTAAACTCATTTGGGAACACCTATATGATAGTGGCAGGTGATTATATTCCCAGAATCAATGATGTGGTGCTCTTCTCCTGCTTTGGCAGGTTCTCTCCCCTCTGAGGGATATCTGGATAATAAGGTGAGACATTCCAGGGACTTGGGAATGAACATGACAAATCAGTGCTTAATACAGCTTGCTAGGGATCTTTAGCTCTGCATATTAAATGGTGTGATGACGATGAGAACTCACATATTGGGGGACCTGAGAGTCAAGCACAACTGACTATATGCCGACCTCACAGCATTTATTTAATAAAGTGCTCACTTTTAAAGTCAATCTCTGGCAAGACAGTGACCACCTCTCTTTATTACTCCACTTTGGCTATAACTACCAGCTACCCCACTTAGCTAATGTTAGGAATCAAGAAACAGTCTGCAGAGTTCAAATCAGTCATAGGATTAAATGGACTGCAAAACAAGTGCAATGGATACAACTTTCACTAACCAAGAATGAATTCTCCGTGAGCATCTGCTATCAATCACAGATCCAAGAGAGGCTGTAGCCACATATCAAGATCTTGTAAACCACTTCTAAAATCTCCTTGCCAGGCTAGACGACCCACTGTATCCCTTGAAACCATGGTTTGACAGGAGCACATTTCAGCCAGGGCAGAATTAATGAAAGTTTTCAAGGGCCATAGATTGAGCAACTTTCCATGCACTAAAAGCCAGCTAATTAATCAGAAAAGGAATGACAAAAATCTAACTAAAATTAAAAAAAAATCAAGCCCTTGCCTGGGCAAATCAGGAGCAGTCTTTTCAAGCTACAAGGAATAAGAACCTTAGATTATGTTCTCACAAGTGGTGACTTTAAATAATTAAATAAATTGTCACCACTTGTAAGAACATAATCTAAGACAAGCACGACACCCACCCCTGCTCATTCCTCACCTTGTCGTAGATCACTTTGACTATGAGTGAACAACTTGGGCAGGTGGCCACATCTTCCCCATTCTCCAAATCTTCCTGCAACGATACATAAGAATTTATTCCTTGGGTAAAGCAGTCATTTAATGTGTAAGAAGAAGAGGGCACAATCCAAGTCGTGTCTGCCAGATACTTCTGAAATAACAGAATATTTCTCAGAACTGTTATGGGGTCTGAATTCAATGTACACTTCCTGTTAAAGTTTGAACTCAAGAGGCAGAATACTGGGATATGACCAAAGCCAATTGTATATATGCTAATTTTTCTGTCAGAAAACATTTTATTCACCTCAAAGTCTAAGTATTTTGATTTTCAAAGATGTCTTCTATGAATCTATACAGTGTTACAATTGGTTGAGCACCCAGAAAAGAGTGAGAAAAGAAATGTTAATTAATTATATAAAGTAAAATAAGATACAGGGATTGGTTCAAGCAAGCTAATCGGCTCAAGAGAAAAGAACCCCAAAACAAAATTTCCATTAACTGTTAAAGTTCCCCCTAAAGGCCATGAACTCAGCTCAATAATTCACTTACTCTCAAATTTAGCACAGCTCTAGGTAGTAGATGTCCTTCAGAGTGTTTGTTTCACCTGATTTATCAATATTATCCTCTCTGAAAAAAGGAGTGTCTTGCTGGTCACACTCACCTTGATAATTTCCAATATAGGATATCATAACACATCTATCTAGGACTGTCCTCAAACATGACTTAAAAACTTCATTCCAAAAAGCAGTTAAGTGAGATTCAGCAGCTTAGACATTCAGACACTTTTCTAAATCTCTAGCTCTGGCACTTAGGGCACATGTTCATCTGAAGGAAACTAGTAATAGATCTCAATTTGCTATGGATCAGAAATAAATTTTTATCTGTTCAACCATATCCACAAATTATTTTCCAAAATTATAGTGCTGAAATAGGCAGCTTGGGTAAAGAAAGTGTGGATACTTCTCTGGAAGGACTCTGCTAAGTTATGTCATTCTGAAGAAAATTTTCAACCCAGAAAAGAACAATATCCACAGTAGCTCCATCAAGGCTGAAGAATGTCTATCCTAGCCTCAGGCACATACAGTCTAAATTATTTGAATACTATATTAATTGATCCAATTTGGTTTTGAGCTAAAATTAAACTATAGGTGCTGACTTTTAAACCTCATAGAAGTTGGGATGGCACTGCCCTAATAATGCTGCTGCCCATCCAACACTTCTCAGGTTTACCAATCTTTTTCTTTTAAATGTAATAAGGTTATATCCATTCTGTCTTGCCCTATTATCAGAGGACTAAGATCCATTGGTTGTGTTTGGGATATCTCTCTCAGTTGCAATATTATTACAACCTTTTATAAATCCCGATTGAACACAGGAGAGAGATCAACCCTCCCCACCCTGGCACTCTCCAGATGTATAGGCTACAACTCCCAAAATCCCAAGCCAGAAGTGCTTGGAGCCCAAACATATCTGGAAGGCTCTAAAGCAGTGTTTATCAAACTTGGCAACGTTAAGATGTGTGGACTTCAACTCCCAGAATTCCCCAGGGGAATTCTGGGAGTTGAAGTCCACAC